GCGTGTCAGACCCTGGTAGGCAGCCTTCGCCCTATCTCTGCACAGGGCTCTGTGCTCTATTCATGCACAGACTGCACTGGTGGAGTGGGTGAGTGAGCCATCTATCAGAGCCCCTCTCCACTCCCCAAACTTGGCACAACAGCTTCCCTTCCCATGCTACTTAGGGAATGGAGCAGACCCCTCACCTCCAAGGGGACAGCAGCAACTCCTCACCTTCCCACCCCAGTTAGACCCACCCACCCCTTTCATCTTAGCCTGCAGGTGCTAGGCAGGGCAGGCAGGAGCCCTGGCACATGCAGAGAAGGGACCACATGCAGAGAAGGGACCACGTGCCCTCTCCACCACCCCAGATTGCTGCTTCCCCTTTCTATCTCCCAGCCTATGGAGCAGAGTGCTGCTCAGGTCTGGGTGACCACCAGTCCAGACTCTGGGAGCCTTCACTCTGCAAAAGGTCTTGATGTTCTGGTGAAAGTAGGCTCTGATACCTGGAGCCTCATGATATCCAATTACCGACCCCTTGCCTCCTCCTGACCCCCGGGCTGGGGCAGCCTCAAGCCCCCTGAGGGGAGAACGCTTGGCTGGCCATACCGGGCAAAAAGAAAAGAGCAACTCTTCCCTACTTCATCTGATTTCACTTTTCTCTCAGCAGGGTCAGGAACTCAGGAAACCACCTTCAAAAGGCTTTCACACTGGCTCGGCTCAAAAACCCAAGGACCTCACCTCCTCCAAGACCTCTCAGATGTACTGCGAGGAACAGATGGGCAGCAAGGAGAAGGAGGAGAGTGCTGAAACAGCAATTCCCTGTGAAGCTGCTGCCAGGACATACCAGAGCTGGGAAAACAAACGCGAGCTCCTCCACACAGCAGCCTGGCTGCCCGTGCTGTGCCCTGAGTGGTCCCTGGCCAGAAGGCTCAGGGCTGAGGCAAGGAGATGCTGTGAGCAGCAGGGATGGCAGAGATGGGCACAGCGCTTATGGTAAACTCATTTAGATCCCTGCTCTGGAGCGCCTGGCATTCCCAGGGTCCATGCTACAAGCCTGGCTCAGAGCTGCCCTGCCAGCAGCAGCTACCTCCAAGCCCTATGGGAGGGCAGAGCCTCCATCCCTCCCCCTAGGTGCCCCTGTCAAAGCTCACCCGGCTTGCCGGGCTCCTCCACCGCAGGGACCTTGCTGTGCGGGCTCTGTGTGACAATCTTCACGGTGTTGTCGGACTCCTTGCTCGGCCGACTCGTCGTCAGCTGCTCTGGGATCACTGCGTTCGGATCTGGGGAAAAGAGGGGAAGGGACAGATGAGATTCAACCTGGATGGCAGCAACTCGCTCCTCGCTCCCCAACTATCCCAGCCAGCCACCCCCAGAGGGTGAAGGGAGAGAAAAAGGAGCAATGGGAGATGCAGAGAGCAGCAGAGCAAGGCTGAGCTGCTTCAGGGCTCGTGGGAAGCAGCTTCCCCACCCTAATCCCCCCCGCCTTTTGTTTTCTGAGCTCCCATGTGTGGGTTGGGGCAAGTTTCTTGCACGGGCAGCAGGAGGAACAGGAAGGGAAGGCAGCCTGCCAAGGCTGCAGCACTGCTTCTTCTGTTTATTATAAATATTGGCCCCACAGTGAAAACACAATAATGAAAAGCAGCCATAAGGAGCTGTGCATGTGAATTGGGGGCTGAAACAAGCCCAGGCCATCCCAGGGCTTGGAGGCACCTGGCAGCTTGCAATGGGAGGTGTTGGGGAGCTCCCTCCAGGAGAAGAGCACACACCACAGCCCCACTATTGCCAGTACCCTTTGTGTCCCACTGCCATCAGCCTGCACTGTCCCCACACTGTGGAGGCCAGCACCGCTGAGAGCTGCCAGGACCACGCTGAGTCCAAGCACTGATGCATGCCCAACTGGAACCCCCTCTCAGGTCCCAGCAGGTCACGGGAACACCGCCACTCCTCCCACTGATGCGCTTGCACGGTTCATGGGTCTCACACTGAGCAAGCTTCCCACCACAACACAAACCACAAGGCAACACAGAACAACTACTCCATTTTAATCCCAATGCACCAAGCATGTGCAAGCGTTGGCAAAAGAAAAAAGGGAAGAAAAAAGATCCAAAAATGAAATTCTGATGAATTAACTGGGGAGGCCTCCCAAGGACCAGCTGGCCTGGCCTCAGTTTCTCCTGAATCCAGACCACCCACCACAGATCAGGAGCCTGGTTCAGGGGCCAACGTTTTGTTGGACAAAGGCATTTCAGTGACAGGAGACCCTTGGGTGCAGAAGGACTCACCCTGCCCCACTTTCATGACAATCTTCATGGAGCGTGTCTGACAGACCCCTCCTTCCCGGTTCTCCAGGCCATCCAGTGTCCCGTTGGAAGTGGCTGCAAGAAAAGAAAAGGAACATTAGGCAGGGCTTTTGGGAGCTGCAAGGACATTGCTGGGCAGGTGCCCGCTGTCCCCAGGCATCAAGCAGGAGCTCAGCATGGGGGGGTTCACTCCTGACCCCTCATTGCAGCCACTTCTTCATGCCCCAGTCTGGCACCCACAGTGTTTAATACACCGAGTTCTTGTTTTCTACACCTTCTGAAGATGTTTGCAGTGGTGAGGACGTGATCGCTCCAGCTTTCCCTCACTGCCACATCCACACAAGCAAGCCATTCTCCATGCCTGCACCCTCCTCCCCCTTTAATTCCTGGATAATTTCCTTTGCTCCTCGGTGTATAATAGGAACACATGCATATGCACAGTTTAAATTATACATATATAATTACACACTGTGCCTCAGTAAAGAATGTAAACTCAGAGCCCCAGTGGGGTTGAGTGGCTCTAATTGCAGGGCAGAAGTCAGTTAAATTCACATTAACTTTTTGCTTTAGACGGCACAGATTTTTTTAAGCCTTTCAATCCTGCGGGAGCTCAGGGAGCCGCACATCTCCTGCTGCCACCACACAGGGAAGGACCTCCACACATCCACATGCCCGCCAGCCCTCTGCAACGGCGGGGATGGCTCAGGGCAGGGGGGTTACATGGGGCAAAAATAACCCAAACCAGAGGATTACAGCATTAAGCACCTCAGTGACAGACTCTGCTAAACACACTCGAAAAAGTGGCTTCTAACCCCAAAAGGGCCCTCGAGTGCCCAGTGGTTGCTGCGCCCAGTGGACAGGTGATGCGCCGCATGCAGGGTGCATAGACAGCTCTCCCCGAGACCAGGGGCTGTTCTCTGTCCATCACAGCAAACACAAATCATCCCAATGCTCTGCCAAATCCAAGCATAGGGATTTATTCACCCAGGGAAGCAATAAACCCGGGAGGAACATGGCGGCAGCATACAGCATGAGTGGGGCTTAGGAAAGGCGGTGCAATGGAGAATCGCGAAGCTATGGGGATAGTTTTACAGAGACAAGGCAGTGAAGCAAAGCAGGATTTGGCCAGCACAGCACAGCTCAATGCCAAAACTCAGCCCCAGGGTTTCAGGTTGCCTCCACAGCCCAAATCCTGCCTCCACCCCACAAAAGCTTGGGTTTGGGGAGGGAGGGTCACTGATGGTCGGTGGGGCCAAATCCATAAGACCCCACTGGGTGTTGGTGAGGAAGTGATGGGTAGAGGTTGGGATATGGAGCAAGGTCTTTATTTTCCTTCTGCACTCGCTTTCCCACAGCAGGACCCTTGGGTGCCTTGATGAGCACCCGATGCTGAGCTATGCTGGAAAGTGAGCCTGGATCACGCCAGGATGCAGCTCAAAGTCCATCAGCTCTGTCCAAACGCCTCTGTGCAATCGAGGCTCTCGTGAGAAACACCAGCAAATGTTTTACTAATCAGAAAGTCGTTGGGCCGTTTGCTGAGTTATC